GTATTGACATACAAGCAGGCACACGAAACCAGAGTGCAGCGGAGTCAGCAGGTATTCAACACACCCGGAGGTGTGGAATACTTGCAGGGGCTGATGAACAGCCATGCGGTGGCATTCCAAAACATGGACCTCTGGGAAGGTTGTATATATTGCTGCCTCTTTTAGCATCTCTGCATTTGTGTACACATGAGCTTGTGCAGACCGGTCACTTTAAAGCTAGAACAGTTATGGTATAAAACCTGACGTATCTATGTGTTCTTATAAGTAGTTGAATCATTTCCCTACAATCACCAATTAGATTCAAACTTTCAGGAACAGTTTGAATCTGATTAGTCGCTCAAATGTAACTTTATTTCCGAGTAGTAACGCCCTATTCAAACCAGATCCATTGCAATCCATTTTTTTCAATGGATGTCAACAGAAGCCAACCCCCAAAAAATGAATGGGTGTGAATGGGACCAGTTAACACAGCTCCATTCGCTTACACTGAAAAAAGTAGAGCATGCACTTCTTTCAGTGCAACGTAATGCAACGGTGTGAACTAGCCTCATTCACACCCATTCACTTTTCGGTGCCCTTGCGTTTGCATCCATTGGAAAACCGATCACAGCGCAATGGATTGGAAGGTGCAATCGCAAGTCAAAGGACCCTCTGTTGACATACGATTACCTTCTGATTTTGGTGTGAACGGACCCTAACACTTTAGAAAATGTCTCCATGATGACAGAGACAGCAATAAAAATACATTTTCCGGGATAACAGGAAAAGGTTAAAATCTCCTAATGTTTGTATTGCTCTCTGTGGCTTCCTTCACTTGTGCCTACTGGTTCCTCATTTCTTGTCCTGGTGTCATATGGATGTTATTGAGAGTGACTCTGCCTCAATAGACTCAGTACCAACTGGAGACAGCAACAAAAACATTTAAGAGGTTCTAATCCTTCCCCACTCTTCTAATTCTAAAAACACAATTGGGCTGAAGTTGGACTTTTAAATGACTAACTGAAAAGTCTGAGGAATTGTCCAATATCTATGTTATGTAAATGAGCTCGTGGACGGGATGGTAAAAAAAAGAAGAACTATCCCTTCTTTCCCTTCCTTCTTGTGTTACACAAAAGTGGGAAAGAAGAGGATAGTTCTTTCTCTTTTGTGCCACATTCACACCTGTTTTTATTGGTGTGGAGATGGCCACCAAGCAAGCACAGGATGTTTTGCTGTGGGTGGAGGATGGGATTGACAGTTACATTTTATGGACCATTTAATGTGAATCAGTACAATATGAACATTGCTTTGTTTATTGCCCTCCTCAGTGAGTGACTAAATTCTAAAAAAAAAAAAAAAGAAATGCATCAGATCTGTGCTCTGGGAGTAACCAATTCCTGTTCAAATACTGTTTCCACAGGATAGGAACAGATCGAGGGCTGAGGTCAGGCAACACATTCATTTTCTTTTCCAAATCTTTCATTCCACAGCACTGAAGCAGCCAAAAACGACACTGAACTGTTGACCTTAGTAACCTTGCCTAAAGTAATGGTAGTCCTCAGGTCCTGTCAGGTCTTTAGGAGCATAGCTATGTGGTGCATAAGGAGACAGAGAGGGTAATCCCGAACCAAATCCAGACGACATCTGTGGCATAGGTTCTAGCCTGGGTGGAGCTGGAGGAAAATCGTCATAAGGTGCTGAATAAAAGCCAGCCGATGAAAAATTACTTGCTGAAGAGGAGATTCCGGATGGCGTAAAATGACTTGAAGAGGAGATTCTGGATGGTGGAAAATGACTTGAAGAGGAGATTCCAGATGGTGGAAAATGACTTGAAGAGGAGATTCCGGATGGTGAAAAATTACTTGAAGAGGAGATTCTGGATGAGGAAAAAGGAGTTGCTGAAGAGGAGATTCTGGATGAGGAAAAAGGAGTTGCTGAAGAGGAGATTCTGGATGAGGAAAAAGGAGTTGCTGAAGAGGAGATTCTAGATGTTGAAAAAGGAGTTGCTGAAGAGGAGATTCTAGATGTTGAAAAAGGAGTTGCTGAAGAGGAGATTCTGGATGACTGATCTCTAGCTGAATAAGGACCAATAGAATTTGATGCTGAAAATCTGTCCACAGGTGTATTTGCGTCCGACATTACACTGGTTAAAGAAACACAGAACATAAATTGAAAAAGGAAACCATGTACAGAGTTCAAGCAGATAAACCTGAAGAATGAATAGGATTTTTGTACTTGTGGTAAAATCATTTTCTCTATTGTGTACTGAGGGACAAAGCTTCATAGTAAGAAGACTATGTCTATACCACTATTTTACCTAAGGAGAAATGGCACATAGAAACCTGAGGGCCAGCCCCATTGAGACTAAAACCCCTCCCACCTACAAAGAGAGAACCAGCAGCGTATGAGGGGAGGGAAAAGAAAAAAAGAAGATCAAAAAATAAAATCAAAGGGCAATACATGGCTGCTTTCAGAACCTCTTAAATAAAACCAGCATCTGTGGAGGTAGATAAGTCAAGTTTGTAAAACATAGAGAAAGTATAAACAATAGGCCAGGTCACAGCTGTAAAATCCGGCACAGGGACCTGGTGATGAAAACCAAAAAGCACTCACTGCCCTAGTGGAGTGGGTTTTAATAGGAAAAAGTCACTTTATCGGTCAATTCACAGGCCTGTACAGCAACTTGTCGAATCCACTTAGAAATAGTGGATCTGGAATCTGGAGAACCTGTTTAAAGGACCTCCTGGAATGACAAAAAAAAACCGGAATCTGTCTGCCTAAGCAGTGGCAGAAAATTAGGCAGGAAAGTTAAAATAATGGTTGGGGCAACAGTGCCTGGCCACCTGACAGAAACAGAAGTGCTCACTACTCCCCCCCTTATACAACCCGAGAGTGAATAAAGTGGAGAGTTCCCCATGTACAAAATTAAAACCCAGATTCCAGATAAATTATATAAAAAGGTACATAAGCCAGTTCAGAATAAAAATGAGAGATTTTAGTCACCCACAAAATCCTTGTCATTTCATGCCGGCCGGCTTCCTGACGAGTACTCGCCCAAATACTTTGTATCGGGGCATCCCTAGTAACTAAGAAATGTTGCAGGTATGCTACAAAGCTGAATCCTCAAAAGGACTTACCCTTAAAACAAAATACCATAACATATACAAGAATGAATTTACAGTACATAGCGATAAGATATGCAGATGCACATTTGGGACAATAGGTAGTGGAATAACAGGGTGGTGTGTTCTGTTTTTATGTGATTCTATATTATTTTATGTTATTCTAAGTTTATAGTTCAGAAAATATATTACCAAAAAATATATAATCGTCTCTATAGCAACGGACATAATACAAATAATAATGTACAAGTTAATTTACATTTTTCTACTTTATCAGCCCATACAAGCAAGTCTAGTGATGAAGCTATATAGTATCATGACAACTTTAGTCATGATTGCAGATCATAATCACCAAACATGTACATCTTCTAATCACTGCATATTGGATGACTTCCACACGGGTAAACATATGACAAGGTGGGAATTGTAAGAAACAAAAAAAAAAAAACCCAGAACTAGATGTGGGACGTTTTTACTACGGATGCACCGATACTTGGCATTTTCATGAGAACTACCAGGGTTGCAGCTGGGACCTAGCTCTGGCGCTCCACCACTGAAATCATTAGTTTGTATTGTTTTAGAAAAACTGTCACATGGCAATAAACAAAAATGTATCAGTACTTGGACAAGTATCAGTACTTGTACTTGCAATAATAGTATCGGTGCATCCCTTTATTTATAAAAACAAAATCATACATTATAACAGATGTACAAATCCCAGGAGCTCCGTATGCTCCTTACAAATGACAGCTGCTGCTTAACTTTTGAGTTTTTCTCTAGTCTGGGAGCTCGAAAAGTATCGGTACTTGTACCGAGTACGGTACTTGGTTTCGGTGCTATCCCTAGTTTTTACATATGCTGCAGACACACTCTAATAGGATCCACTTACCTATTCTGATGATCACGTTTTTCAGTGCAAAGATGTCTTGGTCATTATAGTAGGGGCTTATGGACCTCGTCATCAAAATACACTTCTGCCCCTGAGGGGCAACCGGCTTTTGGAAGGGCCCTGAAACAGTGAGGTCAATGAGGAAGCTTTAGTGGAAACTTGAGATATTGTTTTGCCCCAACTACAGCACTAGGAACAACTTTGCAGTGAAAATTTGGTAGCGGGCTATTTAACAGAACTACATGTGAAATTACTGACCCCCTCCAAAGCGCTATAGTTTGATTAAACACATGTGCAGAGGGAAACAGGATGTAATCAATCCCCCATAGAAAAAACACATGGAAATCTACCAATGCCTATGTTGCCAATTGCCTTCCCCATAATGCAATCAAGTGTATTGTAGGCAGGAAGAAGGGATGCCTCCGAACAGCATTTTTCTACTGCCATCTGTCTAGACAGCACTGTATCTGATACTTTCGGGATATAAATCTAAATGGATTAGAATGGATCATAAAGCACATGTACTCAGTGCCCATGAAAAAACTAGTCTGATCCAAAAGAAGAGCCACTGTAGCTCAAATGACTGAAAAGGGTAATGTTGGTACTGATAGAAAGGTGTCTGAAAACACAGTGCATCACAGTTTGCGGTGTATGGGGCTGCGTTGGCAGAACGGTCAGGGTGCCCATGCTGACCCGTGTTCTCCACCAAAAGTGCCTACAACGGGCATGTGAGCATCAGAACTGAACCATGCAGCAATGGGAAAAGGTGATTAGGTCTGATGAATCATGCTTTCTTTCCCAACATGTGGATGCGGGTGCTTAAGGGTTACTCACCTGGGGAAGCATTATGGGAAAAAGGCACGCCAGCGGAGGCAGTGTGATGGTTTGGGCAATGTTCTGCTGGAGAACCTTGGGTCCTGCTATTCATGTGGAAGTTACTTTGACAAATACCACCTACCTAAACAATGTTGCTGACCAAGTACAACCCTTCATGGAAACAAAATTCCTTGATGGCAGTAGCCTCTTTCAGCATGATAATGCGCCCTGGCGCACTTCAAAAATGGTTCAAAAATAGTTTGAGAAACACAACAAGTTTGAGGTATTGACCTGGCCTCCCAACTCTACAGATATCAATTCAATCAAGCATCTGTGGGATGTGCTAGAAAAGAATGTCTGATCCATGGATGCCGCCAACAGCTTATTGCAGAGGTTCTATCGAAAGCTCCCACTCCTCGAGTTCCCCAACTGCCTGACTTCCGGTTAAGTTAGAACTAAGAGGTTTACCCAAGAAAGCTCTTCTGCACGAGCGCCAGCCGCGGCATTGCACTATACACATACACCACTGCAAGAAAGTATTAAAATGAACTAGGATCACACTAATCCAGCACGTTATTAATCTCAGGTGCCCCACTCAAGCGGCGGCCATATTGAGTAGGGCACCCTAGATAAATAACGTGCTGGATTAGTATGATCCTAGTTCATTTTAATACTTCATTGCTGTGGTGTATGTGTATAGGGCAATGCCGCGGCTGGCGCTCGTGCAGAAGAGCTTTCTTGGGCAAACCTCTTAGTTCTAACTAGACCGGAAGTCAGGCAGTTGGATAACTTGATAAGTTGGAACTTTCGAACACAGTTGTTGGCAACATGGATGCCGCCAACAACTGTGTTCCAGTGCATTTTTTTTCAAAGTCTAAATGGATTCCCTAATGTGTTCTGGTGTGTTTGCAATAATTTTGGTCCGTGCCAGAGCAGAGAAAATAGTGCAAACATTCTGGAACTGAATGCAGTTGTCTCAACTAGCCTTGCTTTTTATCAAAGGAATGAATGAGGATGCGTTTGTGGACCAGACAAACAAAAACGTTCTGGTCTGGATCTGGTCCGGCCATGGTGTGAATGGGCTCTTAAAGAATCTGCCACTGATTGCTAAGTGCCGCATACCACAGCATGCCTTCAAAGGTCTTGTGGAGTCCATGCCTCGAAGGGTCAGGGATGTTTTGATGGCAAAAAAGGGATCGACTCAATTTTAGGTGGGTAGTCATAATGTTATAGTTGATCGGTGTGTATTAAATTGACTCAACCATACAACTTGATTGAAATCGGTGAAGACATTTTTTTTTTAAAGCCAGCAAGCCATAATGAGCCTTTGGTGCTTATTTAGGGCTCAACAAGAAAGTAAGAAAAAAAAAAAAGGTGCCAAAACATGTCCCTTCTTCATACCCAACTGGCAATAACAGGAATCAAGTTCATTAAAAAGTTTGCATACAGTTCTGCGGTCACGTTGGCCATACAATATTATTCTGTTGATCTGTCCCAACAAAAATTCATATGAAACAGTTATATGAAACATATGAAACAGATATAAGGTAAGTGCAGCGCGCACTGAGGTTAATTGCATGTTTTGAATTACTATTTTATTTATGTAAATAATTAGTAATAAGTTGAGACACATGGAAGAATTCACTAAGAGTTCATGCTTTCATTCATAAATGGATGTATTTTTATGTGTCCCTGTATAGTGGAGGCACACATGCAGCCCTGAAAGGACAGATTTTGGTTAAGTGTTAGGGTTCCAGTTAAAAATTAAAAGGTACATTTTAGAGGGTTGGTTAGAGGTTTGCATACTTCTAGGAGGGAAAGGTTAGGTTTCAGAGCCAGATTGACAGTTGGATAGGTTAGAGGTCAGGGACATTTATGCTCACTGCAATCTTTACATTTTTTTGGCGACAAAAACCTCCATACTGAAAACCGAGCAGGGAGTTCCCAGAGTAAAAATCTAAATCTGAGTGATAACGATTAACCTAATATATAAAACTTGAAAATGTAATTTCTCCGCTATTCTTTGAACGGAGATATTTAACCTCTGACAGTTAGGGGTTATAGCACCACCTTCAGTAGGATTTT